GTCACGTATTTGAATCGATTTTCAACCGGCTCGCGGTTAATCGTTACATCCCTAAAGTGTAGTCTGGCATTTCTGCAAATCTGCGTCCAGGATAGATTATACTTAAGTACTAATGAGTGGAGCTGGGGGCTCTTCATTAGGGATCTTCTGATTTCTGACTGTCACTGGCTTAACAAATTACAGTTTTCGTGATAAAAATACACTTTTTGTTATTTGCTAGCAGGGTGCGGCACTTAAAGGTATTATAATCACCCTGTATCCTCTGAGTAAGTTCAAAACTGGCGAGTTTGTGTTCGTGAGTTCACAGTTGGCCCAGTGAATTTCTAAGCGATGTTAGGTCCTTAATGAATGAATAATTGAAAGTATTGGATTTCCAGAATACTCAAATATCTAAATTAATAAACAATCGATATTTATGATCAGTTTTTAATTAGAAACATTGCCTAAATTTAGTGATCACTTAAAATTGGAGTCAGATTGAAAACGGAGCTAGAGTAAAATTTAAGCTAATTCCTGATAAATAAATTCAAGCAAGTAAAAGACCGAATACGCATTAAACCTTCCACCAGGCCGCTGGATTCCGCTGTTTTGGGCTGGCGGGTGGATTCTTACATTTATAAAACCTTTCATTTAAACATATTATAAAATCAGATGATTTTATTTAGCACACAAAAGGTAGCACCAGTTATAAATTCCCAGCAGTAAAAGGCAGTTTTACTGTGCAGATGAACACATGATGTACCTGCATAGTTTGATTTTAAAACATTCTCTTCACTGACAAATATAAATTCTGAGTAAAGGGTGTAACAGATTTATTGTGTTGATATCTTACCGTTGGAAGTGCTTGTGGGGTGACTCTGTATTTGGGTCACCAATTTTCCAGGTGCATCTGCTGGGCAAATCTGGTCGAATCCATTTCCTCTCCATGGTGACTTCTGATCCATTCTCAATCTGCTCTACATTCACATGGTGACCGTTTGTTTCATTCACAAGGTCTGTGCTATTTGCACTTAACTTGTATCCAGTCTTTCCGTTCAAAACGGCATCGGTTTTCAGCTTTGCATCCCCGCTGATGCCAGGTTCTCCATTTGCAGCATTTGTGAGGACTTTGGCAGCATGTGGGCAGACAGGACCAGTCCCAACTGACTCTGAACTAGATGATGGCATGGCTTACCTGTGAGAGGCAACATTTTAAGTGTCATTCACCAGGCTTTTCATTGTATAGTATCACATTGTATCACCCAATGAACTGTTATAAATGTTATTAGGAAACATTTCGCAACCACTCTATTGCTCTAGATATTCATTCTGATTTTCAGTCTATTATATTTTGAAAACTCTTCTCATGTCATCCAAGTGCTTATGTAACACTGACAGATCACAGCATGCCTTAGAGGAAGCCAAACTACCATATAAATCACCATGGAAGTCTCAAACACCACCTAAAAGATAATTATTTCTAGTGCTTTACTTTTTATGAAGTAAACAAAGGTTTTGCCAAACATAGACATCAAAATACAATCTTAATATATGATAACACTGTTTTGCATGCTTGTCAAAGATAGTGAGAGGAAGAAAACAAAACTGAATCGTTCAGCATGTGTGCAAAACCAATCAGTTCTTGATAACAACATTAGATAAGACCTATTAGATTAGACCTATAAAGCTCTCTAATCTCGAAGACTGTCAAACATGAAGATAATGCAAGCGCTCTTATCATTACCCCAACTTCATTCTGGTGAAAGCATGAATAAGCAAAAGTTGATCCCTAATAATAATAAAAAATAAATAACTAAATAAAAAAAACTACTATTGAAACCCGAGTGGAGGAGATCCAGGTGAAATGGTCGATGTCTGCCAATGACTTTTCTTTTTTGGATTCCAACAGAAGCTGGAGATGTTTTAGGTCTCGTTTTAGGGTTGTGCCGATAGACGATAGTATCGTGTATCGACGATAGTCAGATATATCGACGATAGCAGATGTCTTTGTCGATAGTCAGGACAATATTAGGCTCATTCTCCTATATGTATTAAATAATAATAATAATAATTATTATTATTATTAGGCGGCCCATTATAAGAGGCGTTCCCTCTTTTCCTCGCGTTCCTTCTCTTTTAAATAGCTTAAAAGCGCCTTGCGCATTTTACTTTCACTTTCAAATTAGCGGCAATTTGGCGTTGATTCAATTCAAGCAACAACAACGTCAAACTCATAGAACTTTTATTAA